GGCCACATCAGATGGACTTTGACCCCAAATCCAGCTCAGATCCACATCTAATTCCTCGGCCCAAATGGTTGTAAAAACGCGCGTACTTGTACTTCGGGCCTTGAATCTCTCTCTCTCTCTCTCTCTCTATGGAAGCGTCTCCAAGAAAACCATCGGAGAAAAGCAGGAGCCGCGAGAAGCTGGTGGGGAGGGTAATATGGCCGGCAATCCGAGGGCAAAATTGTCCAATATGCTTGGGAGCCCTGGAACCTCGCAGCGCAGTGGTGCTCACGTCGTGTAACCACGCCTACTGCGTCCGATGCATTCGAAAATGGAGCGGATTGAGACGAAAATGCCCTCTCTGCAACGCCGACTTCGATTCTTGGTTCTCCCATATCAGCCTATCTTCTCGAAGCTTCCACAGAGAGATTTTGCCGCCTCTGGATAGCACTTCTAGTTCTAGAAGCTTCAGACTTCAACAAGAAGAGCATCCTTCAAGGTCTGATTTTCTAGTTGTTTAGTTTTTGGTCCTCCGCTTTTGTTGAAATTGCGATTTTGAGCTCAAATTTCGCTCTTTTATAAATAATTAGGCATGTGAGAAATAGTGAACGGAGGCGATCAAGGCCTTTGCCATGGCGGCGATCGTTTGGACGGCCAGGATCAGTCACTCCTGATGTGATTGCCGAAAGGAAGCTTCAATGGCGTGTCAGGTAACTTTTCACCCTGATTTTATTGTTGTTTGCTAATTTGGGCAGTTGGAATTTTTAGTTTTTAGTTTTTAAATTTATGGCGTGTCAGGTAACTTTTCACCCTGATTTTATTGTTGTTTGCTAATTTGGGCAGTTGGAATTTTTAGTTTTTAGTTTTTTTAAATTTTTTTTAAAGCAGCGTATATGAAGGACGCTTGCAAGCTGTTCCTTCAGCTCCAAGAAGTCGTCTTCAAGTGGTTAGTGCATGCCATTACTCTCTCTTTCTCTGATTAATATCTCAGTTGCTGATTAGTGAAGAAATGGTGGATTGAATTGTATTTTGCGTTTGAAATTTCAGAGTGTACCAATAAATGACGGTGTTAAAGAGAGAATTTTGCAAAGAATAGAACCATGGATTCGTAGGGAGCTGCAGGCTCTTCTCGGAGACCGAGATCCATCTATTATTGTTCATGTGGCCACCTCACTCTTCATTGCAAGCCTTGAAAATGAGGGTCATGTCCCTTCTGGACAGTGTGATGTTCGAGATGACTTCCTTGCACGGTTGCGCCCTTTTCTGCTTGATCGAACTGATATGTTTTGGCACGAGCTAAGGTAGCTTAATGACCTCAGAATGCTTATTCGTTTAATGCATTTGTGTTTGATGCTTCTCCTACTTTAATTTACGGCTGTTTACTGTCGTCTTTCTCTGGTTCCTTCCATCATCTAATATTTGTCAGTTAAGCTGAATTTGTAATTTTATGTTGCTTTTGTTTACTTGTGAATAAAGTGAAGTTTACTCAGTTGCCTAAATGGAAAATGTATGTTGCCTTTATTCACTTTGTGGTTAGAAAAGTAGTTGCCCGTCATATGTGATTAAAAGAGAGGAAAGAACCGGGGTTACATGTGAACAGATTTTGATTAAAAGAGTAAGCAACCCTTAGGTGTGGAATCGTTGTAAATGTTTATCACCAATTAATCAGGTAAGATGGAACATGCCTTAGTAGCACTGTAGTCTATGCTTCAACTCAAATTTTATTCCTCTAAAAATAGTTGGCTCTGTAGAGGTGAAGAAAGCAAGTAATCTGTATTTTCCATTTGTTGCTTTGCTTGTAAATGTTTTCTAACTGGAAACTACTGCCCTGCAGATGTTTTGCCGAGAGTTCATTTAACATGGAAACCTATGATGCAGTGGTTGAGTATAAAAGGCTCCGTCGATTGTAGAGAAGAAACTTCAGACTAATTTGTGACTTGCCTATACGTAGGAAGATATGGTGGTCTCCTCAACGAGGAAGTTAGAGCGGCCAACTGCTTGATTAAGTCATGTGATGCATTTTCAGGGTCATAAGAGAAAGTAATGAGTAAAGCTTAACGAGGGCTTTAATTTTTAACGGCAGCAAAATTTGAAGTTGCCTTTATGCCAAAAGCCAGTGGAAGGATTCAAGAAGCAGGGCCTGATTTCTTATTAACTCACAATCTCATGTTAGCTGGAGTTGCTTGGTAGGTCATTATTGGTACAATGATTAGTGCTTCTGCTTGCCCTAGACCAACGAGAAGATTACTCAAGGAGGCATTTGAGTTACATTACTTGGTCCTCAAATGCGTTAGAAGATTAGCGAGATGCTGTTTCTGCATATGGGCAAGCATGAAATGGACTAGTTACAGAATTGGCATGTTTTGGGATATTCCACCCATTTCTTAGTTGTGAAAAAAGTCTGTCAATCACCACAGTTAAATTGTTGGAGAGAGAGAGAGAGAGAGAGTGAGCACTCCAATCAACAATCAGCTATATTATTATTTTACATTTCACATTGACTTACACAGTTCTACAAGGATAGCTACAATTCGATTCAATTCATCTCGTTAACACAATTAAAAAACCAAGAACCAAAAACCAAAAGAAAACAAAACCCTCTAAATTTGTTAGTAAAGGAACAAACTTTCAAGTCATCAAGTGTATTTACGATTCTTCTTCGGGTTCCTCCTCTTCTTGAAGAAGATTTTCTCTATTGTCATGCGCCCAGAAACCACGCACATCTATGAGCATGCTGGCTACAGTGCCACCTTGTTTGCAAGCTAGTAAATCAGCCAATGTTATCCGTAGTGGATCAGCTGGCTTAACCATGTCCCAGATTTCGTCCCTTACGTCCTCAATACACAATTCATAGTTCCCACCCTCGATCCATTTCTGATGTACATCCCTGTTTCATAAGTCCAGGAAATAAGATCTTTCAGCTGACACAACATGCTAAGGGATCGGTGCTAAAGCATATCTGGAATTGCATACTATTTAATGCATTGGATGAACTACTTGGGGACCAGGATGAACAATTTTAAAACATATCATATTTTTTGCTTCGCCCCTCTCCAAGGACAAATCTCTGATTTTGCCACTTGATTGAATGGCACTAAAGATCTTATAGGTTGTTAAGCATTCATGTCTCTGATAATCTGAGACTTGCAGATATTGCTAAGTACTGCAAGCAGGAAAATACTACAGAGATTTTCTGTAGGAAGATTGTATCAGGTAGCATCCCAACTTTTGGATGCTCCTCTTCTTTACTTCCATATTTGGCTCTGCTTGATTGCTCAGAACATGGTGAAAGCTATCCTCACATTTTGCAACGGCAGCCAAGCAAATCATAGAATAAAATCTAACAACATAAGTCCTATGAATGACAAAATAAAATTTTCTTTTCTTTTGGGTTTCTTTTAAGTGGCCCCACAAACAAGTTAAAAGCAGAAGACAAAACTTACCTGAAAAGAGAGTGTATATCAGCTGTTGTAAGGTACCCCCTCCCGTTAAGATCAAGACATCGAAACAAATATGTTAACCCTTCTGGAGTGTCTTTGTTTTCTAAGGCCAGAACAAAGTCCAGATAACTATCAAAGTCCATCTCCCTTGAACTTGCTCCCCCAACTTTTCCTCGTCGAACATGCTCATCAAACACTATTGAGGGCATATCAAATGCAGAGCATGAATAAACGGAACTAAAAAAAGTAAATACAAGATGCATTATAATTTATAACATTTAGACTGCTGTTGATTTATACATTATGCGATAGCTTTACGGTACCATGAGGAAATGTGTGACCTGAAGTAAGGTAAATCAGGTCGGGGCATCCTCAAATATAGATTCCATATTATTTCTTAGCATTTTTGGGTAAATTAATATGCACGTAGTACAAATAATGGATGTTTAAGTTTTTATGCATACCTCTTTCAATGATAATTTCAGTCAATGCCCCATCCGCATATTCTCGAAGCTCCTGCTTGCTCAATGTTCCATTGTTATCTTTATCAAGCAAAATGAAGATGTCTACAGAAAGCACAGGATGCAATCAGCTATAGGAATTAGAGTATATTTTTTTTAAGTTTTCAGTTATAACCATCACATTTCGGGCTCGAGAGTGCCAGGCATATATTGAGCATGGGACTTTAGCATTGGCAAACTCATGACTTGTAACGACTTGGATGAAGATATCTAGAACACAAATAACAACTTGGGGACTCAAGACCATGAAGAATAAATCAAAATAATATAATGCTTGTGTTACACTTAATAGCAACACAAATAGGTCACATACAGAAGCTAATCAATTAGACAACAGCAAACAAGGAACGAAAATGGAACCCAGAGACATGAAAACTACGCACCACATACGCGCTTGGCAGATGCCATAGAGAACCAGTTTTCAGCTTGCTCAGTGTCAGTGACTTCTTCCTCACTTTCCTATTATTGAATCAAAGTACAGAGCACATGGTTAGCAGAAGAGCAGAATTTATTGCAGTATATATACCTAATAAAGATGGTACAATTTGTAACGTAGAATGTTTTGACAGATTCTTTCACAACCTACCTGGTGCAGTTCCATTAGTTCCTGGAGACAATTACTTAATAACACCTTTTTTATGCACGCTTTTCCTGTATGCAAAAACAAGGTGTAAAATTTTCTTAACTAAAGGAATAATTATCAAATGCAGTATCACTGATTAAAGTCAAACCTCGTCTATGAGGGTCACAGAAGAAGAAGAACTTCTGCGCAGCTATGCGGCAATACATTTGAACAAAGCTTGCAGGCATGTCCCGTAATTGCGCCAGATTAGGTATAAGACCTCGTATATAGGCCTCCATTTCCTGAAGAAAAACAAGATCAATACAGTTATAGCCAAGGATGGAGAAAAATAACACATTTTTTCTCTGTTAAACATCATACTGAAAGATAACGTAGCTAAAGAAAACGGCTCAATATTCTAATATAACCCTTAGATGCTCAAACTTTGCAATAAGTTCATACTTGAGGTTGAAGGAAACCATCAGAATCCTCATCAAGCTCGCTCATGTCAATTCTAGCTTGGGTAAGTGAAACCTGGAAGGTAAAAAATAGTAAGTAGCATTCCGGACTTTTATAATTCAGACTGCAAGAAAAAGCCAGGTGAATTAATGATCAATTAGACCCACCGTTCTCATCACATAAAGGTAAAAGGGCAGAATGGCAATTCTTCCTTGTTCATCTTTCTCAAACTTCATGAAATTGGAAGGGCTGAAAAAGCGACGGCATTTGGGCCCTATCTGCTCTGTACATACAGAGGCAATGTGGCAAAAGTCTTCATAATTCATCTACAAAATGATAAATAAGGGGACTTATTAGAATCAGTCAGATACCTAACAACTCAATTAAGAAGTTATTATGATTCAAAGCCATAAACTGAAGCGCAGATGATAACATAATGGAAGTAGATGAGATACCATAATACTACAATGTTAAACTTCTTTAAAGATTTTGATAAAACATTAATAACCATTTGTTTGAAACCCATAAGAGATATTTACAACATATGAAAAAATCGAAAACAAGATTAAGATGGAAAACCAGACCTTTTCTGCACCAGTTGCATCATCAATCACACAATTTTCCCTTAAGCAAACCCACATAGCATCTAGATCATCAGCATTTAGCAAAAGATCAGATTGCTTCTGCAGAAACAAAGGGGTAAATGCCACCAATAAAGCATAATGTTAGATACTTAGCCAATGTAATAAAACAACAATAAGGACGAAAATCCAGATGATTACCTTTAAAAACCGATATTTTGCCAGCCTCTGGACCCTATGACTAATAGATCCATCTTCAGGTTTCTGAAAAAAGGGAAAAAGCTTTGAAAGTCATAAAGGACCTAGGAAAGAGCACATAACAAGAGTGAAACAAAAATGAAATAATTTTTTTTTTGAATTTTCTATGACATAAAAGTAATGCCTTCACACTCAAATTCCCAAGCATGAACAGAATCATTGAAATACAACAAAAATCCTACTACATGCCTTCTTATAGAAACTTGGTATTGTGCCAGCTTCAGCACTTTTTTGTTGCTTCTCTTTGAAAATATCAAGCAAGATTCTCTTTGTTTCAAGCTCTACACAGGAAAAATACAAAATACATAAACACTTAGTTAAATCGTAAGCAGAAAATAAGGTATCAAGATGGAAATGTGTGGATTACATATGTCTTGGCTTCATAAGTGCATGTCTCAGAAATTACAAAATCCGTTTCTAATCCGAGCTTGCACACACACACACACACACACACACACACACAGATGAACTCATAAAAGCATATTACAGCGGCCAAATATCTACTAAAAACTTGGGAAGGGACTCAAATGGTCAATGAACATGTGCCGCACACTTCACAATAAAAGACCAGAGAGAAAGAAAACCAACCTGAACTCTTGAAATTGGCTAGCACACAAATGAACCATTGTCTCAGTCTAGTGTATACCAAAATTCAACCATTAGCACAAATGAACAATTGTGATAGCTTGACATCAGCCCCCACACTCATAAAAATTGAAGCTTGAAGGCTGTTTTCATACTTATTTGTGTTGTTTTAATTATCTTATCTTACAAGTGTGATCACACTCGATTTATCAGTTCTAATCAAGGTTCCTAATTACTATGAAAACAGCTTAATAAAGCTTCATTATCTCTAGAACAAAGGAAAAATTGAGAACAGCTAAATGCTCCAAAAAACAAAACCCAAATGCGTAAGACATGGTTCTATATCTATATCTATACATACATTTATATACACACATATACACATACATACATGGAGCTCGGCATACCCAGAAAAACAATATTTGACAAAAAAGAAAGAACGAAAATTGGAATGAAAAGCATGGAAATGAGAGAGAGAGAAGTGTGAGGTAGAATACCCATGAGGGCTTCGGATCCGAGTCCGGTACCGGATCCGATGAAGCGGCGGAGGTTCCGGACCCACAACATGGACGAAGCAGGCGGGATCTTCCTCTGCGCGGCCTCATGGCCTCCTTCGCCATCACTGGACCCACTGTACATTGCTGAACTCGGGCCAACTCAGAGTTCGCGTACGATTAGACTCGCTGAACAAAACCCTAGCTAGGAGGAGCCAGGGGCATGTATAATTTACAGAGTGAAAAAGATCTTAGCTTGAACCCGGATCTACCGAGGAAAGTGGCAACAGCAGAGAAAAGCCTTTGTTTAATTTTTCTGTTTTTTTTTTTTTTTTTTTTTTTTGGGGTTAACTGATTTTGTTTAATATATAAATTTATTATGAAAACAAGTATTATCTATCTTTTAAATAGAATTTTAGTGTTCATTCCTAAATTTGTTTGAATATAGAAAAAAAAAAGATGGTGATGTCA